ATGATGATTAAAAAATGTATAAATTAATTTAAAAATCAATGTGTGTGTGTGACTTTATTATCAACACCTTTTAAATTAATTTTTCTTCTCCCAATATAAAACTACAAGCTTCAAAACTTAAGGGAAATGCATCAAGAAACTTTTGAATCTACTCTAAAGCTTTGTATACGTCTAAGTATTACCAAGAACAATGTTTATTGACTCTAAACTTATATACTTCGAACTTGTTATGTTTATTAGACAAAAAAAAAAACATAAAGAAGAAGAAGAAGGAGAGGAAAAAAGCAAAGAAATGTTCAGTTTATTTTTTAGTGTTGAAAACGTAGCGTGAAGGTCTTAAAACAAAGAAAATTAGAGGAACCCCTTGACCATGAGCAAGCTAACGCATAACTGTGGAAAAAGAGCCACGCCAGAACCGAAATTATTGCGTTTTCTTGGCAATCATCCAAACACGAACGCGTACGTTCGCTCCCGATTATTGCAACACGCGTTATGCTGGCCTACATCGTCTAAGAAAATCGTAAAATAAGTACAAGTACGCGTTCATCTTTTACAACTTTCTATCTTTCTTCCATCATCTCGTTATGTTATATATGTATTACATGATAAAAAAAATGAGAATAATAATCGAGCATTTTCGAAAATTTTCTGCCGAATAAAATAATATCAAAGATATTTTCGATATTTTTTTCTCAACCAAATTAACAATATAACTTAATTACATATATGCTTTCTTACATGTATATCCTTGTTAATCTTGAAGACTCGAAAGGTCATCACTTTTTAACCCCTTTTCTCACCTCCCCACCCCAACCTCCCACCTATTATGATTTGTGTTCGTTTATTATATTACGAAATGAAACATTTCCCTTGTGCCAATGCTACTTTAAACTTGTATTTCAAAATATATATACCTATATGTATATATTATACATATGAATGTTGTCACACTTCCATTGAATTAAACGTTACCGTCTGCCAAAATTATCGAACGTGCTACCTTGCATTTTAAGCTTTACAACGACACATTATATTCAATTATCAAACACGAACAATTATTTGAAAGAACATTCGACAAAAAATCGTAATAAAACAAGACACTCAATTACTTATCTTTTCAATGAACCCAAATACGCTACCCCATTTGAGTTTAAAACTTATTCGAATCGAAACAACATTTTTCTATGATTCATATTTATTACAATTTCGTTACAATACATTTAATCTTGAGATCGAGAAAAAAAAGATCGTTTGAAAATTTTGGAAAAAAACTAACAATAAAATCTAATGTATAGTTATGCGATTGCTATAAAAACCGAACGCATTTATTTATGATTTGTATAAAAATCTCCACATTGAGGTCATTTTTGGCAATCAGCCAATCAGGAAGCGAACGATGACATAAAATTATGCGGAAGAAATACGACGAGCCAATCGGAAGTATTGGTTAGTATTCCGGAAATATATATATATATATATATATAATAAAGATCTTTATCACGAGTGTATTTTAATATTTGCGTACCCATGTGTATTTTATAACACGTGTAGTTTACTACCTATGTATTATACATACTTTGATATCCGTGTAATATGTGTACCTGTGCATTGAAAATTAGACGAACTAAAATACAGATACCTAAATTAAATACACGTGTACTTTAATACACATACTAAACCATAGTGTACAATAAACGTTATAATCATTAACAATTTACAATAGGAACAATGTTCTTGTACATTGCAATAATTTTATTTCATTATGTTCTATTATACTTTTTCAAATATAATTCTTCCTGTAATATAAAAAAAAAAAAAGCATAATCTTAAGAGCATTGGTTAGAAACAATTCAATAATTCTTATGACCTTGTTAGATCGATGTAGATTAAATACCTGCAACCTTACCAGATAATCTAACTCGCTAACCTTTCTAACGTTTTATCGATTTGTACCTTGTTCGACCTATGCTTTCGTGTCACACATCGAAGGTTTTAAAAAAAAAAAAAAAAGAAAAAGATACTAGTGTTTCTCAAAATTTAAATGATACTGCATAGAAATATGTTACCTTGAAAACGACCAATTCTTATTTATAATTTAAAATGTTAAAGTACCCTGATAAATTGCAGGTATGCTAATACTGTGATACTCTTACGAATTCCTGTGAAGGAAATTCTAAGAATTTTCTTGAAAATCTCTTTCAAATTTTCCACTTTGATGTAAGCTAAAAGCTATCGTAATCTTGATCCATTAAAAATGATATTTCAAAATGATCTATGAAAAATATAGGATCACGGATCTATGGATCGAGGAATATTGGTTTATACGTGAATATAATAAAAGTAGAAAAATATCACATAAAAGCAAAGCAAAACGTCGAAAAAGCTACAAAATTCATATGTATATATATATATATGCATGTGTGTATGGGTGTGCATACAAACGTTGTTATGTTCGAGGAATCGAAATGGGCGCGGGAAATTCGAATTTGAATTAGAAAGAGGGGGCGATGCAAGGGATGAAATCTGCGGTCGATAGGAATATACGTAGTTTCGCGTGGTTGTGCGAACGACAACCGTGATGACAGCTGACCGAGTGACCCGGTGCCCCTTAACCAATCTCTCTTACTACTACCAATATATAAACCTACGTATGTACATACATACACATATACACAAAAACGTAGTTACATGCGTAATGAAAAAGATGACAGAAAGGTAAATGAGGTTGTTGAGTTAGAAAAAATGACTCGTATTTTTGTACATAGTGCGTAAATACATATACGTATATTTATATATGTGTTTGTACGTGTGCGCGCGTGTGTATGTACGTTATATACATACACGATCAGAAAGAAATCTTCGCTTGCTTGCGTCTACTCTAAAAAAAGCCTATAGAAGCTTACCACCTTGCTTACGGACAGGCATCCTTTATCCTCCGTCGAACCTCTCGTTCCCTCTCCTCTGGTCGCACACTCGCAGCCCCTCTTCTCTCTCCTTCTCTCTCTCTCTCTCTCTTCTTCTCTGTCTCTTTCTCTCTTTCTCAGTGTGTATGTATGTGTATGTGTTCTCTTAGGTAAGCTTCCTCCTCTTCTTCTTCTTCTTCTTCTTATTCTTCTTTCACCTGAGACTAGATAGATACTCGGGGAGGATTGGACAACGTGTCCAATCTAGTAGTAAAATAGCGTAGTACACTATTATGACTTATACTATGATCTCACCACCTTCTTCACCATCAGCCAGCACCTCTCATATAATAATCAACGGTGGTGAAATGGCACACCACCACCAACAACCACCTTCACCGTTACCCTCACAGTCGTCACCACCACCACCACCACCACCACCACCACCACACCAACAACAGCACCACCACCAACACTACTAACTAACACCACCAAACACACGAGCAGCAACTGAAGTAACAGCAGCAGCAGCAGTAGCAGTAGCACCACCGGTAGCACACGCTTCTCTCACGTTGTTAAAAGTAAGCTTTGCGTTAACGTGCAAAGAGGAGAGAGAGAGAGAGAGAGAGAAACTTAAACGCCGGAAAGAGAAAGTAAGACGAGTAAAAAGGAAAGAAAGAAGGTGGCAGTGGTGCGTCGTACTCGCACGGCTTCCGCGCACGATCCGTCTGCCACTACTGTCATGCGTCAGCCAAGAAACAGTACCCCGACAACGACGACGACGATGATGATGACGACGAGAAGGACGACGACGACGACTGCGTCTGACGGCAGCAACGAGAACGACGACTGCTTCTACAATAACGCGTGTATCTCTTTCTCTCTTTTTTCCAATCTCTTCTTCCACCCTTTTTATGATACACAAGAAATCAAAGTAACATCCCTATGAACACGCACAAAATGAACACTACTAGATCTGTCACTTTATTTCTCTCTCTCTTTCATCACCGGCTAGATACATACGTTTCTCTCTCTCTCTCTCTCTCTCTCTCTCTCCCTCTGTCTCTTTTTCTCTTTCTTTTTTTCTCTCGATTTGTGCTCTCTGTCTCTCTCTCTCTCTACCCTCTTTTCCCTCTCTCTTTTTGTCCGTCTGTATATCTATTCGTCTCACTTTATTATTCTCTCTCTCTCTCTCGCATTCGCCTCGCACAATATGGCGTCGCACTCTGGCCGTCGTAGCGGAATCGGAAAATCGTGCGGAATCCACTCACTACTGGCAACGCAAAGAAACACGAGCGCGCAACCCGCACCGCCGATTGGTCGATGCCAGCTTGCTTCATGACGTCACGCCAGCCCTCATGACGCGCTACCCCGAAGGCCGAGATCAACCCCCTACAACCAGCATACGACCTACTGTACCCCCTCTCTCTTTCTATATACATATATATATATATATTTTTTTCTTTCTTTCTTTCTTTTTTTCTTTTTTCAACTTGTTTTCTCTTAAGTAAACTCATTTTCCTTCCCTCTCAACGATGACTCGCTCGTTATCGATGACTACACCAGCAACCCTCTCTTTCTTATTCTCTCTCTCTCTCTCTCTCTCTCTCTCTCTCTCTATATATATATCTATCTTTTTCTATTGCATCGGTTCTCGTTGCATTCGTTTAACACGAGACAGAAACTTAGCCGTCTCATTCATAGACGTCAGCATCGATCAAACAATACCTTCGTTTGTCAACAAGAATTCTAAATGCATCTAAGACGATCCATTGATTAATAAAATTTTGCAATTAAAATATCAATCTTTTGTTGTTTTTCTATGTAATCATGAGATTCGTTTAATATTTTTATATTGATATTCATAAATATGAAATGAAGTAAGTATAGGAAATAAACATTTATTTGTATGATCTTATCATACGAATTTATTGATCAAAGTAATTTACCCTAGCAATCGATGGTAAATGTTTCTCATTTTCCATTATTTTCTCTCTCTAAAAATTCTTAATTTTGTATTAAAATTATAATAAATCATTTTCAAAATGATTACTTTTGTAATATTTTCTACCCTCACGATCATGCGCGATTAGATTTATTCTGATAAAGTTGCATCAAGTTAAATGGACGAACTAAACGTGCGACTTTACCACCGAAAGATTCTTTTTTAACAATTGCTATTTTAATATTAACTTAAATATATCAATTACATTTAATAATGGCGTTAAGCTCAACAAAAGGGGAAATACCATCAAATGCTATTGTTTTAACCCAAAGAGAGGCTATTCAATATCGATGGAAACAAATCCACAATTGGGTACCGAAAAGAGAAGTGTAACTAACCTCAAACAATATCATTGTATACATTTTCTTCTACAAATAATGAAATAATAATATATTATTTTTTATTGACATTTAAACTCGATCAACCCTTGCAAATTCTATTACTTATATATTTCTATTATTCTTTCATCAATTTGCAATATAAATAATAAAATGAAATTTTGTTTAATCCAAAAGATGGCCTTTTTCATATGGACCGGCTTTGCTTGGAGGTGTCGCATCAATATCAAGTTTATATATTAATATCAGAATTAGGAATATAATGAAATTACGTAGCTTTGGTTTGGCTTCTTCTACTATCAGTATGGCATTATGTCCAGGAGTGTTTACCATTTTAGCTCAAATGGAGGTATAACATTATAAATCTTTGTTTAGCCATTTACCATTTACAATTTGATTGTAAAAGTATATGTTAATATAAAATGTATTTAGTTCGTTACAGAAAAAGTATTTTTGCCAGTGCAAACTTGTCCTTTATGCATCCAAATAAACTCATTAATTGCTCAGAATTTTTGTAGCTTGGTATATCCTTTGATCTTGTCACCGGTAGTAAACCTTATGGTAAGTTTTAATTTCTATTCATTCTTGCAATTGTAAATAGATATAGAGATGATATATACTAATTAATATTTGTATACAATTTTGTTATAGATTGCTAAGCGTGCTGGAACATTTAGAATGCCATATTATACAAACTGGAAAGAAGTATTATATTTTGGTGTGAACTTATGTAAACCTATTGTTCCATCGTTAGCAGTCTTAAGTACTATCAATTCTTTAGCTGCAATGTTGATTTTATATAAGCAATTTAATTGCATATCTTATATAGAGCAAATATTAACTATAAATGAAGAAAGCGATGAGATGAATACAACATTCTGAAAGTCAATTATTTTTTGTTAGTCACATAAATTGTTGAATAAAATGTTTTTGATTGTAAAATTGTCAAATCATGTTGCAATATATGTTATTTGCTTATATTTGTATGAATGAGTGTCACACATGCATGTTGTATGGGATATATATACATTTGAAAGCAAACAAGATTTGTGACAATATAAAATGTATTTATTCCTTCATCCCCTTGCATTATAAGTTGTTATTAATATATTTAATTATTTTTAGTTGTCTGCCAAAGTTGCTCGTTCTAATGGACTTACTGTGCTAGTGTGCACTATGCATTGCTGTTGTCTTTATTTTGTAGGCGGTATATAAACCAATTTTAACAACAGGCTTAGGCACAGTACATTTTGTAATATGTCTTTCAAATTATTAAGATTCGCTGTCTTGTACAGTAACTATGTCATTTTGACTTAAAAATTTTTTTAATGTAATTTTTAAAATCTAATTCATGCAACACGTAGGCTTATACAGAAAAATGTTGGTGTCTTAATGTGTATCATGTATGCATAACAAACAGTGCTGAACTGGATAGAAATATAACTTTTAATCATTTTTAGCAATATATTCAAAGCTAATGCAAGGTGCATAAGACATTCCTTCTTAAATGTAAACGAAGTATGTTAAAATAACTATTATCATAATAAGATTTAAAATATTTTCATGAAATAGAATAGGATGCATGAATTTTTCTGATTTTATAAGCAACATCACTTTGTTATGCATGTATAAATATCATTAATAAGATGAAAAGCAACTACTAAAGAAAGTAGTTTGATCTGTACGATACGCAAAATTCGCGTACAGCGGAATCAAGTAAATATTTTCATCTATTAGGATTTGGGACTTCAACATATTTAAATCGATTTAAAAAAACACGCTATATAAAAGAAAAACAAGAAGAAAAAAAAAGCAAAACAATAGTTACCATTGGAAATGCATCAGATATTAATCTTCTTTGCTATTCTCCATTGACATTTTGAACTAAGAAATACATCAATGATACGATATGTACATTGTACGTACAAGTAGCGTTACTATCATTGACGTAATTAGGATTCCACAGCCTAATTTAGTTCATATATACGATAGTTTGATTTGCCGATAAATCTACAATTAAGTATGATATTGGCAGTTGGTTGGACATCATGCCGAGGCTTGAATAGTACGGAGATCTCAAAAACTAGCTAGCTACCTTGATAATAATAATAATAATGTAATGTAATAATGTAAGTAATAACATCAAATGTTAAGTTAAAACATTGATTAACAAAAGATTAACAACACGATTTCTTTAGTCTTAGCAAGCTTTGCTCATGTAAACGACACAACAATGAATAAATTGGCAGTGAATGGAACCAGTCACAAAGTAACTGGGGGATCTAAGTAAAGATAGGATATCAATACATGGAAGAATAGGACGCCAATTTCTTTCCAATTTCTGCCGGACGCTCTTTTATACGATAATAATCTAAAATGCATCACTAATTAATCGTAGTACATTAATAGCTGCATTTGGCGTATCAGCCACCTAAATCATTATATAATTGAAACTTTTCTTTTAAAATAAGAATTAATATGTATATGCATTGAACTACTACTTGTTTTTCTTTTTTTGTATTGTAGGTAGCGATATAATGCAACTATAATGTACAAAGAATTCATGAGTTTACGATCACAAATCGCAGAATAATCAAAATCACAATGAGATCGTCATTTTGTTGTTGTTAGTACCTTAAATCTATTATTACAACTAAAAATTAACACTTTTTTTTCTTTCTTTCTTTCTTTTTCTATAGTAATAGTGCGGTCCATTGCTTATTTACAGTAGAGGTCCCATTCTGCAAATATTTTATACTACACACACTTGGAATACCTCATTGTTCTTTAGAGGTACCGTCTTAAAATTTATCTCTGTTAAGTTTTAAGCTGAACTTGAATATTAATGAGCAAGATAACAATAATCTTTGTAAAGTTATCTCTTTGAACCTCTTAAAGTGGTATTTTAAAGGGACTAATTGAGACGTATCTTATAAGTTTAAGCTGTACGTTAGAAAGTACAGTAACTATATATCCCTTTTTTGTTTTATTCGATATTTTTTTTGTCATCAATTGCAAAATTTCTTTTCTGCAATAAAACGCTGGACTATATTACAACTATAATCATTAAAATAAACTTCGATGTAGCAATGGTATAAATTATGTTAGACGATTTATACATATTATATATTTACAATTAGCTAAATACATTTTGAGGGATTTTATTCAATCACCAACAAAATGGTACAATCTTAATGGAACGATCTAATACAATCTAATTAATCATAACAGATATATTTATTTATACCATTGGTACAAAGAAATTCAATTTAGCTGTTTTAACATTGCCATGCGTAACATCAAATTATGATTTACCTGTTCACACTTACAAACAAAATGAATATGAATACAAAGAAGCTCCAATTGCGCTATTATACTTATTTTTCTTAACAATTTTTAAAACAAAAAAAAATATAAAAAAAACAACATATTATAATTATTAAATATTAGCAAATTATCCCGAAGAAAATGAATTAATTTTTTCTTTTTTTTTTCTTTGTAACAATTACAATCATTAATAAAAATATTTAACAGCATTGTAAAACACATTGCAATCTAATTATATATTCCAATTAACAAAACATAAATTCAAAGAATACAAAAAGAATCTTTTTGCATATCTTTTGTGTGTGTACATATATATATATGTATATACATATACATATATTTATATAATATGAATATTCTATATTTCTTGCAGATTATATGCAATATAATTCAAAAACATATATGCATATATCTTTGATCGAATTTGTACAGTTTTAAAGAGACTGTGTGTGTGTTTTTATCTTTGCTGTGCTATATAATTACTTATATATCACCCATACACTGCAGATAAAGATATCGATGTAGATCCGCTTAGTATGATGGCAGGAGCTAATCACGTGCAAAACGCTTTAAACGCATGTTTAAGTGCTAAGATTCGTTTAATAATTAAGTTCTATTTCATTAGCGCTAGTATACCTCGCTTAATATATTACTGAGAGAAAGAGAGAGAAAAAAAGAGACATAGAGTTAAAACGTTCTAAATTCTTTCACATTTGCTAAATGGATTTTGAAGAGATATTTTCTTTTTTTTTTTTTTTTTTTTTTAATTAAATAATTAATTTCATTATCCGATCATTATAATGATATTTTTAAGTTCAATATTTAAATAAACAAAGTGAATTTATTAATAGTTTGATATAGGAATAATATTTTAAGTAATAATATTGCCATCATACTTATAGTTCTATCATCCTCAAGGAGGACTGTATGGTATCATAAAAGGGAGACTGTGTATGCTAAAACATACAAAATACAATAGGCACCACTTCAAACAGTGAAAGATTGCAAGTAACAGCCGCCTCCAATGTCATTTTCGCTTGCGCACCCCACGATCCATATTTTCTTGTGTCGTAAATCGGTGGGTACGAGGATGTGTATGTGGAGGAGGGAAGGAAGGTCCTGCACGGTCCCACCAAAAAGATGGATAATCTTGTACAGGTACTACAACGGGAGATACAGGAGACATGGGTAGTGGATGTATGAACGATGGATGATTAGGTTGTACCATCACTAATGTATGCTGCTGACTGGCCACAAACGAGTTGTATTGAGTGCTATTATTGTATTGAAAATGGGATGTTTCTTCAGTATTGTTATAACGAACTGCGACAGAAGTTTGAGAAGGTAGGGGCCCTTGTGGAGGACCCCAGGCCAGCTGCTAGCATCTTCGGCAGTGCCAATGTGTCATATAATCTTGATAGCTCACAGTGACCTTCTCACTCTGGTAACGAGTTAACTTCACACTACGTCTAATGTCTGGAGTAACCAATCCTTTATAACCACCTTTATGCAGCAAGGAATCTATTGTCTGTATCTGGTCCCATCCTAAACATGTCAAGTTCTAACTTTGCAGAATACTCGCGAATTTTCAAATTGCTGTAAATATCAGCGTAAAGATTAATCAAATTTTATTCTTAATTAAATTCTTTCTCTCGCTCTTAATAGATAATTTTGTATTTCCTGGAAGTAGGAGTTATATACTAATTAAGATATTACTTTAATGCAAAGAAGAAATAAATGGATAGGAATACGAAGCAAATAATTTCAAAATTCTATTTTGTAATTTATCAGCCATTTATAAAACCAGCTTTCTGATTGTTTATGTACCTTTCTGTAATTTCTCTTTTCCAACTATTTTCTTTTATTTTTTAAACTACATACTAACTATGAAAAATACTTGTATTTCCTATTTTGGAATCACCAGAAGAATTAGAATAAAAACCTTAATGAATATAGGTTATCAGCGATAATATATCAATTTCTGACTATAATCTAATCTATTGTAAAAAAAACATGTATACTGACCTTGTTCCGGTGCTACATCAGGCAAATAAGTAGCGGTCCGCTTATTACCCTTTTCATTATGGAATTCTATGCGGATACCATGAACTCCAACTTCCCAATCTAAATAGTCAACTCCATCTTCAAAATTTCTAAGGATAGATACGCTAACATGTAAGCGTGGCAACTCTTCTCTTGTTATCGGATTGAAACGAGAATCCTTAAATGCGCTTTTAGAAAGAAAAACAAAAATATATTCTGACTTTAAAGATGATAATAGTTTCATTCTCGCCAATATTCTATCATACCTAGTAGTAGCGTATTCTCTTAATCCGGCGTGTAAATGCATAGCATTAAATGTACCGATGCAGCCTCTTAATCTCATGTCTTTTCCAATAGACCACGTAACGAATAAAGGGCTGAAAATAATATTTCATTGTAGAGTACAATTTTTTGTTGTATAAATAAATCCAACTTAAAAATGCGACAATATACATTAGAAATAATAATAAATCAAAAAAAGAAATTTTTTAAATGATAATTTAGTAAAAATCACTGTCAAAATAAATCTGTTTCGTCCAAGTTTTTTTTTGCTTACAATACTCAAATAAAAATAGAACGAGAAAAATAATTCAAGACATAATCAAAGAAACAATAGAAACGCCTCTGCAACGATGACAATGCAAAGAAGCTACGATGACCGACCGAGGAGTCAAAAAAAGAAAGTATCATTTTTATATATAACCTCGTGTATACGATTAAAAAAAACACGAATTTTAAAGATATTGAATTACAACAAAAAATAAACGATAATGGTTTTAAGCGAAGTTATTTTAAAACGGAAAACATAAATCTAATCGAGGTTAGTTTAATCGAAGGACTTTTTATCAAGGACTTTTATCTTTTCAAGGACTCACAAAGTGCATTGCCAATGATCTTAAAAAATATAAATCTTGCATTAACGAGAGATGGAAATAAGATAGGAGGTAAAGAGGAATTATGAAAGGAGAAAAATGGAAAAAGAAATAAAAATTGTAATGCAAACGTTGAAAGAAAGACAGAAAGAAAAGAAAAGAAGAAAGAGAAAAATGATGTAAAGTGAGAGAGTGAGAGAAAATAAAGAGAAAGAAAGAAAGAAGAAACGAGAAGAAGAAACGAAAAAGAAAAAGAGAAAAAGAAAGAAAGAAGATAAGGAAACAGAATTGAGAAAGGCGCGCGGAGATGATAACGGTGAGGGGTGGTGAGGAATAAGAGGGGGGAGGGAGAAAGAGGAGGAAGGGGGAACAAAGAGAGCCAAGGTATACTCACAATGCATCGTTGCTGAAGTTGGGCGTTTTTGGAGGGTCAAGTTGATGTAGTTGGCAGTAAAGTACGTCGAAGCAAAAGAAACCCATCTCCGGTTGTACTATCGTGGAATAGCGAATCTGGGTGCCATTTTGCAATACGGTCGAGCCATTGCACGGAATGCTGGTTGAATTATTGAGCTTTTGCTTCTTCGTTCCACAACAGCCAGCAGCCATCTTTCCTGGCTCGACTCTCGCGACTGCTCGCTGGACTCTAGTATTAGTAAGAAGAGAGACACGACACGTTCGGTCTCCGACCCGTACTATACACACACTTTACTTAACACATACACTCATGTATGACGTATACGTATCATCCAGTCTACCCCCACTACACGTCTCAGCGTTTAGCTCTCGTCGTCGCGTGCGAAATTATGCCCGCGCTCCGCTAGATGTCTCACCACGCCACTAAACAGCTGTTCGCTGCACTCCCGCCATTCGTCGAACGTACGTCGTCTGCACAGGTACTATATATGTAAGTTGTGAAAGAATACTTTGGTAATACGAGTTTACGATTGGTTGATACTCATCAGGGTGATCAATTTTAAACCGAGGCGGGATCCTTCTATCAGAGGTATCTTTAATTATTTTATATGTTAATACAGTTATTTATTATTGTATCTTTTATTTATTATTCCCTATGTAAGAAATAATAATGAATAGAAAGTTTCACTTTTAGTATCGTATCTTCTAATTAGAATAGAAACTTAAGTAAAAATATTATTATCTAATCCGAATTTTATAGCTGAAACATCAATGACAGATTTTTATATCTACGATGCGAAAAAACGAATTCTAATAACTAATCCGTTTAATTTGTATAATTTAATATATATGCTCTTCGTAATTCGTTGTATGTAATATAAGAATGTTTAGAATATTAAACGTCATCTGAATTATATGTTCTTCACAGAGAGAAACCCACGAATGCTGTATTTATATTACATATGAAAATCATACGTTGAAACTATTTTAGATCGCCGTAATAAACATTAGATTATATTTCGACAATAATAATATTAAGATAAGAGACTTATTTTCGTCGAGATCGTTAGATAGATAGGAATAAATAATTTTTTCGAAAAGAACAGGGTCCATAAGATCGAGTGGTCGGTTCTGCGTACCTGCCTACGAAGTTACCGGAGATAGCCGAACCGTGACGAAGGATTCAATTCAGCAACGTGCACCGCTCTAGCATCGTGCTCGCACCCATCTCTGATACATAGTTCTATGTATGTATATACATATACATATACATAGATATATACGTACTACATACGTCTTACCTGTCAGCGCATATTTTAACGATTTCGCGATCGTGACACAGAAGATCATTTGATCTCGATCATAGAGAAGATCGTGCCTTTCAAAGATAAGTTTCTTTTTCAAAGTGTATATCGACGAAATAAATATTTGCGAGTTCACGTTAGAAAGTGAAATCGTTGGCGCGTTCTCGTCTATCTTTCCGTATTCAGTAATACGAGTGTACAAGTAATACGTCGCGACTTGAAACTTCCTAACTCTCGACGTAGATGGAAAATAATGTTCTTTTTTTTTTTCTCTTTTTGATAATCGAAACGCGTGTGTGTTACTTTCGGCTTCGTGCGTGCGTTGAATAATTACGATAAGATCTAATATAAGTAAAAAACAGTGGCATAGAAGAGAAAGGTGAAAGGATCTTTTTGGAAAAGGTATCTTCTTTCCTCGTCTAATACACTTGTCAAAGTAAGTTAATGTTGATTTTTCTTTTTAATCGATCGATACGAATTCGACTTTTCTTTTTACTTCTTTATCTATTTTTATGTTCTTTTATTTAACGAAAGATCGTTTAAAGATAAGTTAACCTAGTTGAACGTTAATTAATCATTAACACGTATAAAAAATTGATCATAGTCAATGTCGAATTCGCTGTCAGAAGAATCCATTTTGGAATCCATTTTGAATCTATTGCCAATCGCTCGACCAATCAGATTCGTCCGAAGAAAACATTACTTTTTCTGTTCGTCACCTTACACATACGAAAACTCGCATTTATACAAGCATTTATACAAACATTTAAGTTAATATATAATATTTAAATATTTCATCTATATACTACTTTTTCAATGTTATTTTTTCTTCAAACAAGACAACTATTATTTTTTTTTTTACGTAAAAATTATATTAAAGTTATGAACTTAGGAGTTATTTTAATGAAGATGTTATTAAAGAAACCATAATTTTTTTACTACTGTTAATTACTTATTAATAATCATACAATATTTTAGTAAATTTGTATTCACGTGATTTTTTGTGTATAATAACAAAAAATACAAATATTTTAGCCTATATATTAATGTTATATGACATAGTTGCAGTTGAAATTTGCTAGAAAAAGAGGATAAACAATTCGAATTAGTTTGTAGTAGTAAAAAGAAAGTCTTTCATAGATATAAAAAAACATTATAGTTGTATTGTTATTACCTGTTTCTTCTTCTATGAGAATATATTATAATGGTTCTTCGCATGTGGGATTTATTGTGACGAACGGAGCGTAGAATCAGCGTGGTTACCTCGCACGTTCCAATTTATCTCGAGGTTTTATCGTTACGTTTGTAATTTCATAGCTCTTGGTAAATCCGCGAAATACCATATACATTATACATAAATACATATATACACCATGATAGGATTATTCCAAGCACCATTTTGGCTTGGATGGTAAGCGATATTTTTGAATATATGTATTTGAAATATCTATCACATATTCTTCTCCCAACTAAAATATGATCTTAGATATTTCAAAAATCTTATGATTGTTCGTAACAGTATAATATTCAAAATATACCAAAGTATATGTAAAATCTAAACGTTCAAGAGGTAATGGTACTTGGTGGCAAAATACGACACGCATCGGTACAATACGATAGACATACGAATTCCATTTACTGCTTGAACTGCGGTCACGTGTTGTTTATAATGCACTTTCCTATCCTTCGTGAAATTAGAATTTGCCATTAAGATCGACAAACAAAAATTTGGATCATTCAACTATCCTTCAGATTGTTTTTTTTTCTGTTTTTATTTTCCCTTGTATATCTTTTTTATTATTTTTTTAAATTCCCTTTTTCACATGTCTGCAATCATGTGCAACAAGCGATCAAAACGAGTGGAATAAATGTATACCATGATAGCTGTATCCGTTCGTCTAAACATATCGTATGTATATATGTATGTATGTATGTATGTACGTATGTATGAATGAATGAATGAATATATGTATATATATATGCATGAAAGTATGTATGTATGTATATATGAATGGATGGATGGATGAATGTACGCATTCGAATGATTTTGTTGTAAAATATTCGGCGAATCTTTCGCTTTTACGGATCCGTAAACGGATAACGGATCGTTTATATTTATTTCCTTGATCGTTCGTGAAAATTTCCGAGATATGTGAACGACGACAACGATGATCGATCTATCGTTTTCTCGAAGGAAGAAAAAAATGTGAGAGGATTTGTATCACGTCAAGGTTACGTTCCTGACGTAATCCTAAATAGGTAATCTTGAAAGTATGTACATAGTTCCTTAAGCTATTTATTGGGTCAATATCTTTCAACATTTTTCGTCCAGTATTTAAAATAAATGATCAGTATTTACGATCAAAAATATAATATCCATTTATAATATTTAATAATTAAATTGTTACATATTGATATTAATACAAAATCTGTCAGTAGTTATAGTCAAATTAATATTATAGTAGATTGGTATTTATAGTCAAATATGTAATACATATCTTGTATCAATATGTAATCTTGACTAATATAAATACCGGCCATTTATTTTAAATATTGGCAAATTAATATTTATATCCAACAAAATATTCACATATACCGATCGTTTATTTTACAAAATATCGACCATTCGTTTTAACCATTTTTTCAAAATATTGATCAAATAAATATAAATATATATATATAAGGAAGGGTTGAAAAGTTTTGAGATTCAACGAAAAATGAATTTTTTCAAAGATAAAAGTAAGTTAGATTGTAAAAAAAAAATTGTTTCTACATTACCCACGCATATTTAGGATGATATATGGGTTGTGTAGTAGGGGACTGAAAAAAAGGTTCGACCATTTTCGCAACTCGGGAAAGTGGAAATCTGGGAAATACTTTCACTCTCTTATTTAGTATTAATTGAAGTGTTATTAATTAACAGTTGTGTTAAGTATGTGACTCATGTGGGAATCAATGGAAATTATTAAAAAAAATGTTTCCCGTTTACGTAACTTACGGACATTATGAGAGAACTATCAAAGTTTCACGCATTATGTTTCATATGTGTAAATAAAAAAGAAGAAAGGAAAAACAATATATTTAATATAAAAAAACATTTGTGCATGCTTGTATCATAGATTGTGAGTAGATATAGAAAATGTTTTTCTCACAAATTCCGATAGATCGTCGAGCTTGTATATATAATACTTGAATGATTAAAAGTAGAATGAAAGAATGAAAGAGAAAGAGAGAGAGAGAGAGAGAGAAAGAGAAAGACAGTGCGTATATTTGTTGGTATTTCATTTCAATAAAAAGAAACTTACAGGTGAATTGATTGCGAAAAACTACAGGAGGAAATTTCTATTCGATATTACATAACACGGCACACACACACACACACACACAAACATAGACGTAGTGTGTTTCTTTTCTTATTCATCATCGTGAAGACATCATAAAATTGTTACGTTTATCGCTTTTATTTATATAATAGATTAGAGTATAGAATAGTCTAACCCATGTATACACACATACACACATGCATAATATACCTATGCGAAAAAAATTGCATAATTTTTCTTGTATATTCAAACGTAACATTTATCAATTAATGAATGACAAGGTCAAGGTAATGATAGATTTCGTTTTTTAACAATAAATTAGCGTAAAGCTTGAGTTTGATCGAATTGCGCGATCCGATTGATTTATAATTATAGTTTAGTTTAGTTTAGTTTTCAGTCTTATTATCGTATCGGAAGTTTCCGTCTGTGTTCAATTTTTAATTTATCATAGCTCGATTTTCACTGTGAAAGAGACAAAAGATTCTTCAAACAATTCTCGATTGGTGTACGTCATAGTTTCTGACTCAAAGACGTGTATGAGAATGAAGTTCGATGAAAAAAATAGTATTTAGGTGAGATAAGTCATAATTTTTTATTACCTCATTATTTTACCGTGTATTTATATACTTACGTAGACACACAT